TCACTTAATCATTCCCCACGAAAGCAGCATTTCAACAATTCTGTATTTCCTTCATGCAACTTTATACGTAAGATCGACTCATCAAGCTTTCATCAACCTGAAAAAATAAAACAATATAGCTTCTGAAGAATGACATTGATTTGCATAAAATCTCAAGAAAACTAGCTACAAATAATACACTTGGAAAAATATTTACGTCTTTCTATTCCTCCTCAACTGGAGGAAGCCAAAGTGGCCTGCCTATTGAGCAATTTATTCTCCTTGATTTATGCACTCGTTGATAGATAAAATTTTTGGTTTTATCTATTGGAAGTAGTTCATCCATTAATTCTGATACAATCATTTTACCAGAAACTTTTGGTTTCAAGGCACTGTGTTCAGGTCATTTGATTACTTTCCTCAATCTCTCGTTAAACCGTATGTAATCATACTCTGATATGTTCCCCAGAATTGAAGGTCCTTCATTGAGTAAGGTTTTTAAAAGGTTCTGGTGGTGCAACCTCCACTCTTCAAATCAACTTTGCTTAAAAGGGGTTTCCTTGGAATTGAAATATATAGACCCTTGGGCATCAGGATATAAAGGAGTTTTTCCCCTTCTTGGGACCCATCATATGCGTCACTTCTGAATCCATCTTCAGCACCATACCTGAATGTTACGACATACTAACTCACATCGTATAGTGGAAAACGAAATCTAGAAATCAAATCAAAACATTACCGTAATAAACCTAGGGAAAATCAATGAATGTACAAACAAACAATTAGAAAAAAAACCATTAAACATTAAATTAGGACATGGTGGTCAATTATCAGTACAATTACTACGCGCACTATCTAGAAAAGCTAAAAAATTTGAGCTTATTAACTAAAAAAAGAAAATAATATATGTGATAATAATACGCACCTGGAGGGAAAAAAGATCATGAATTAGAGGTTATCTAATCTTCCTATGAATATTCCAAAATCCCCTAAATTTTGGAAGTCTAATTTTCATAAAAATGGTTAGTTTCCTCAATAGTAAAACATTAGGAATTAACAGCTTGCTGTTGTATTTGTATCTGTTGGTGCAATTTTATCTTGTTTTAAACTTCTAAATTTTTCAATATAATTTAAATGTTCTTTAGATGCGATTATAGTGTCGTATTTGAGAGAAAATACTGCTACTCTTTGGGTGTACTTCAATTGTTGTTTTTAGGATTTTCTGATGCAATTTTCTGATGCAATTTTAGTGTTTTTTTACCGTGACTCTAGTGTAATTATTTTTTATGCGACTATAGTCCGGTTTTAATGAGAATTTATTGCTGTTGTTTAGTGTAATGTAACCTCGATCAAGTACTCTCCAATATGATACATCATAAAAGCTTGATGTAGCATATTGAGGGTACCTGACTCGAGCTAGCTTCAAAAAGTCCATCCTCAACATCTATTTAAGGTACTCACGACTATGGATTTCTCCCCACATAGAGTATGATAAATATCCGTATAGGTCGATCACTAATGAACTTAGTTAGTGTTTGGGTAGGGTGTTGGGGAGGGGGATTTTTGTGAATAGTTAATTGTCATTGTCTTTGTGGTAGACATCCCCATTTGTATATAATTATTGACCATACACGTGAATCAAAGAGTCCGAACCCCATTCTTTCATAATGCTAATACTCTAGGGGTACTACTTTTGGTGGTGTGAGTATAATTATATGTTCCCAATAAATTGTGACTATTATTGACAATGTGGGTGCAGTAGATAGTCCATCTATTTGTAATTACGTAGTTCTTTCATGCTTAAAAGCTTGTGTATTTTCTACATTTTTCTTCAAAATTTGGTTTGTTCCATATCTTTAATACTTTCTCATTTTCTCAACTTATTATAAGAAAAATTTGAAGAAATATTAAAGGAAAAAATATTTTCAGAAACTGATATTGATCAATATGAAGCATATTACCAAGCTGCGAGGGATAAAAGAAAATAAGAATATAGTGTCTTGGATTTGAAGCAAAATATTATTATGAGCAGAATCATTGTGGCACATCATCATTATAACCTCCATGTCTCAATCAACATCGACAACAAATATGGACGAGTTTGTAATGAAAATGACCCATGCACCAACTTGTCATCTTTTTTCTATTATTGTTTAGTAGGTTCAAGAATTGATTACTCTATTCGGCAATTCATTGACTGTGGCACCCATGCCTCCTGCTAATGAGGATGAGGTTGATACCTCAATTTTAAGTTGATACCTCCATAACTTATGTTTTTGATAACGTCATACTTTTTGGAAACTACAAACTGTGCGTAGTAACATTTTGATGAACATTGGTTCTGTAAGAGTACTTGATGGTATTCTTTGGGTATTTTTAACTAGAAATATGTGGTTTTGGAGTTTTCTATTTATATATCATGAATCATCTATAAGTATTATAATATATGAATGTTTTTAAATTTTGGAGTATTTAGTAATTAATTCAATTTATGTTCAGCAGCGCATATTTAAATAACCAAGTAAAATTAGTAGAAAAAGTTTTAGCAAAAAATTTAGCAACAAAACAATATAAATATAATGACGAATTAGTCTGTTGCAAACATGTGGCGACATTTTGTCACTATGAAATAGCTAAACTTGTGACGAAACGCCATTTTTTGTCATAGAATTATGCAATTAGAAAGAAAATTATGTCAATATAATGATGACTAAGTCCATCGCTAACATATGGAAACGAAAATGATTTGTCATAAGGACGTCGTCAAACTTGTGACGGAACTCAGTTTTCGTCAATAAGAGCTTACAAACGAGCATAATAGCATCATTCAACACTTCGTTGATAATCCATCGCTAATCATGAGTAATTAAGGATTTTCGTCATCTTGTGACGGATTGTGTCCGTCGCTAAAAACTATTTTTTTGTAGTGTCAGCCTCTCATAACAAGATAAAGTTGTTTAATGAGTGAAAATTCTTAATTCAAGTTCCAGGCTCTCATATGGCATGTAAAAGCATAAACAGTTATTCTATAAAATAAATTAATATATATATATATATATATACCATGATTTTGAACGAGTGTATTTGAGGCAAAAAATGAAATCAATCTCCCTTTGCCTATCTTACGCTACTATAACTTCCATGATTGAATCGAGTGGTAGTAACCCTGATTAACATAAAAGGACCAATTTATAGAATTTCATGAAAATGTTATTGTTTTTGTTACGCAACATGAAATCTAATAAAATTATGAAATCTATTTAATTATAAAAATAAAATAAAACTTATATGGTAAAACTAATTTATGATATGTAATTATCATATGAGTAATGTTAGTAGTGTATGCTAAAAATAATTACCTTTTATAGCCAATCTTTTTATTTTATAGAAAAATGATAAATACACATGGCTATCTACAATTTGGTTGTAATATTAGGCATTTCTAGGCTAATATTCATTTGCAATGTTAAATCGCGACTCATCCAATAGAGGATAACGATTTGGTAGTTTTTAATTAGTTTTCTTGTATAAGTGCATTTGTTTCACTTATTCTTATTCTATTTTAATCTTAGGCATTAGTAGGGACGGTAATTGAGTGAACTGTATCAATTTTAGGTCAATCATAATGGGTCAAGACAACAAACATGTCAAGATCAAATCCGAACTGAATTTGACTGCATCAATATCCATTGAGCCAAAATGGGGTAGATCATCAGTACCCCCTAAACCTATACTCGATATCTCAAAGACACACTTAGACTATACTAAGTCCCTATACTCCTTGAACAAATTCTATAAATAATTTTCTACCCCTTTTCGGCCGACGTGACACTAGTTTGAAAGAAGTCAACATGCGCTCGACCCCGAAAGATAGTGTCACGTAGGCGTAAAAGGGGTACAAAATTATTTATAAAATAAGTTCAAGGTAATAGGACTTTACTATAGTATAAGTTTTTCAGTTAGATTTCGGGAATAGGTTGGGGAGGTAATTATGCATTTTACTTATAAAAAATTCATACTGCTACAAACCCTCTAACTTTTTAATGGTCTGCTAAAAAAATGGTAATTAAACAAGTCAGAATTAAATTCCTTACAATGTACAAAGCCTTTTATATTGATAAATTTAAAATTTATATATGAACATTGAAAAAAAACTCTTATATATATCACATAAATGTTTTGTCAAGAAAATTCAAATGAATATACCTTCGCCTCTTCCAGATTCGCCCTTACGTAAAAGTGGCTAAAATATAGGAATTTTGTCTCTATAATTCTGAACAAATGATATCTCTTGGAATTTTCTAGATCGGTTACGTCAATTTGTTATAAAAAAAAAAGGTCACAAAATCAGAAAATTGAATTTGTAACTGACCTATAGAATTAAATTTACTATTTTAAGATATTAAATATTACATGGATTTTTTTTAAGTGGACTAAATTAGATGAATCAAAGTAAATTTTCAGTGACTTAATATACCTGCCAATTTCTCTAAATAAACAATCACATTAATTTTTACTCATTTTCCAAGTTTATTTATGTGATATTAACTTTTTTAGGTTATTCAAAAACAAAGTCATTTCATAGTCCTATATTCATTTTTCACGTTATTATTGATCATTCTTAAAATTATTTTGATCTCATTTATCCTTAAAATTGTTCCTTTCTTATTTTTTTTAAATTTATTCAAGTTTCTAAACCTTAAATTTTTTTTATTAAAGTGCGAATTAATTAAATTTATCAATTTTATTTATGAATTCTTATAATGAGAAAAATAAAGAACTAATATAAAATAAAAAAGACATATTATAACTCAAAATATTAATAAAATGAGTTATAATCACATTAATATCTAAGATTTCTTTTACATGTCACATTTCAATTATCATTTCATTTTAAAATTTTGTATGTCAAATTAAATCGTGTCAAGTAAATAGATACGTACAAGAAAATAAGGACCCTTCATAATTAATTGCTTCAACCCACCAACCCCCTCACCCACTCCATATTACATTTCTATAAAATTTAATTTAAGAAGAAAACTTCTCCCCCTTCTTCAGTTCCCTCTCTCAATCCATGGTGATGAATTGGAAGACTTCAAAATCATACAAATTTGTGTTCAGCAGGTGAACAATAAAGTGTGCTCAAAAGGTATTTGATACTTTTTTTTTGGATGTTTACAGTAATAATTTTAGTTCTTGATAAGCTTAATATTTGGTTCCTTGTTCTTTTTATAATATCAAATCTTTCTCAATTGGGTTATGTTAATTTTGTGTAATAGCAACCCTATCTTCCTCTTTGTACCTTTTTGGGGGTAGATGTTGATTATATGGGGATTTTTGAATTTAAAAAAAAACTATTTACCTCTCTTTGTTTTTTGGTGTTTTTAAGATGTTGATATTACTGGATGACATTTATTTTGAGTTGAGGGGATATAGAAAATCAACTCTCAAACCTCATAAATAGAGTTACAAGTAAAATAACGTGTACATGCTATCCTTTCTAGACCTATGGAAACATACTTTCTTTCTAGTTAATAGAAATTCTTGTTTGTTATGGAATTAGTCCAGGTAACATAAAGATGTATATATGTTGGACATGATCCTGTCTAATATATGAAGAAGAAACTCGAGAAGCATCATCCAATTTGTGATTCATAAGTTAATTTTTATTTCGAAGTTATGTTATGCGTTGATTTCCTTAGGAGAGGTTGAAACATTAAGTGGAAACTTACTTTTTTTCTTGTTAGTAAAGATTTCTTGCTTGTTAAGGGATTAGTCCAAGTTAGAACCATAAGTATGTTGGGCATGTTTATTCCTTAGGAAGAAGCATCAGCCAATTTAGTATTCTTGAGTTGATTTCGGAGTTATGTTGTGTGTTAAATTATCTTAGGTGAGCTTCAAGTATTAATCGAAACTCAGTTTTTTATGGTTAGTAGGAATGTTTTGTTTGCTAAGGGATTAGTCTAAGTTAGACCGATAAGTATAGTTATGTTGCACATCAATACTAAAAAAACAGTTTTTAGCGACGGATACTAGCAACGAATTTTATTACGTCAACATATAATGACGGATTTTCAACGGAATAGACATTTTGTTGCAAGAATTGCAAAAACAATTTTGAGTTATGATATAGCGACGGATTGGCGAGGAAATATTTGTTTGGTCTCTAAAAAAAAGAGCGAAATTTTGGGTCCGTAGTTTTCACTATCAATTTGGCAACCAAGTAAGTTTGACCAATTTAATTAATATTCTGCGATGAAATAACTATGGAGAAAACACTACTAAACATAAAAATATATTTTTATAAAATTTAATTTATATTGTGAGGAAAAATCCGTCTAAAATTTAATTTAAAAAATATAATTTTTGCAAGCAATGGATATTAAAATCCGTCACTAAGTTTGTTGCAATGTTATTTTTTATCCTAAGCTAAATCACTTCACTTTCCATATTCACCAGAATCTCTAATCTCTCAAAGTAAAGACTGTGTGAGCTCTCTGATGAAACTTTCCTTCTCTGATGGCTAATACGCCCATCTCATTCAATCTTCATCTCAAAGTAAGTGCTCTAACTCTCATCTCCTTACATCTTCCATTTTGATCTAAAAAGTGAGATCTCAAACAATCATAGCTTTATCACTTATGGGTTGTGAAAATTGGAGTTTTTAGCTCTCAAATCTTTTCATTTCATTAAGTTTGAAGTAATATAGAGATGTGTTGATATAGTGGTTTCATAAATGTCACTATTCTGAATAGAGGCTTGAAAATACTTTCAAGTATTTCCATTTCATTTAGCTCGAAGTAAGTTTGTGTTGTTCTGAAAATAGTTATTTTAGTAGTTTGGGTATTCTGAAAATATGTTTTTTTGAAGAAAGAATTTTTGAAAAATTGGGATTAGGGTTCATCATTACAGTGATTTACTTTTATTTTCTTTTGTGAAAGTAAATTGCACACTGATTTGCTTAATTTTGTTTTATTATTGCAGTTAGCTTTCATTTTTTGTGACTACTAACTATTGGTTCACTCTTTCCGCTTAAAGGCATCTCTTTTTCTCCCCCTCCCACAACTACCTAATAGTTTCTTGTGGTTTTTCATTTTCAATAAGAACATTTTTCTGTAAACGATTGAATAAAAGTGAAGGGTGCAAGATATTGTATTTGCTCTTTTTGGGAATTGTTTTGGTGGTTTGGGAAGGTTAAAAGTGGTCATTGGGAGAGTTAGGATTTTGCAAGACATTTCTATTTTTTTATGAGGGGTGCATTTATTAAAATCACTCGAAACTTTTGGAATATAAGACTAAGTGACATACATATTTTTGTCATTGTTCAACGGATTGTCAATTTTATTTTTATGTTTTTTATTTTGAATAATTTCCTCATAATTTCGTTTGGGCTCCCGATTTGTGTTCTGCTAAACATTATTTGCTGCAATACTACTAACGTCATTTGCATTAGGTTGCATAGGAATTATATCAATAGAGTTATGAACTTGACAAGAATGGTGATTAGTTCATCTTTTTAATAAATAATATTACTTTTATATTGAATCTAGCTTAGATGTTTTTCTGAGGTAATTTTGGTTTTACGATTTAAGAACCTTAGCCTTGTATGATATATGTCTTCTTTTTTATTTTGTAATCGGTATTCTTAAGTTGTTTAACTGAGAATATATGAAAACAGCCTCTTGCATTTTGGTGATTAAGATACAAGCATATGACATATAACATAGAAGCAATTTTCAGTAAACATGACTGTAATTTCGACAAAAAATTAGACATATTTATATAATCAACCAAATGAACAAGCAGAGAGGATCATGTAGAATAGCACATTAAATATGGTACAGTAGGTGATAGAGAAGGATCACATAACATGTCTTCTCATAATAAGATCAATCACATACTCTTCATGAAATTATAAATAACCAGTTTTGTTGTGGGACTTGGTTTATACACTAAATTCTTGGCTAAAAGTGTTAATTACACTGATTTTGTATGTTATTATCATTTGTGAATATGTTTGCTTGACGATAAGTAATTGAGACTCCATGATCAATGTTATTGGCTAAAGACACATGTAAAGTGCTTATGCTACTCAAGACAACAACTAATTCATTTTAATTGTTTAGTTGTTATTTGTTTCTATTGTTCTTGTTAACAATTAAGACGTTTGATGCTTAAATATTCCAATTATCTATTACTATAACATTATACTTAGTATTTGGTCATCATTCACTCTAATTAAGACTTGATCTTTATTTTTCCCACTTTATTTTTCTAAAGATATACTCTAAAGATAATTGTAATAATAATCGTCATCAGGAAGAATAGTAGTAATCGCCAAATATTGGTATTCTAAACATTAACTTCTTCTTTGGTCATTATTGCTAGAGAAATATAATTGTAATTTAACTTCTTCATAGGGTTTATTTCTTGGACGAATTGTTGTACTTATAGAGAAAAGTCAGTTGATTGTCTTACAAGCTGTCTTTTGAAACAAATATTCCTTATTTTGCTAGTATTTTTTGGTAGACAGACTGATCTGCCACTGTAATTAGGTATTTTAATTTTATATGATTTACTTAACCTCTACCTTAAGTTAAAAGTGTGTGCCAATTTGTTGTATAACTTGTTGCACCTTGTTCTTGGAAGTAGTGTTGCCAAGGCTAACTGTTTCTCTTTAATTGAAGGACTTGAGATTAATATTTTAACTAGGTAGTATATGTAAGTTTGCTGAAATTAGAATGTTTTGGTATCTTGATTTGAATTAGAATGCGTCAATATTTTGTAAGTTGATAGAAATTAGAATTCTTTAATAAGGAAATATTTTTTCTAGCTAAGTTAGTTTTGAAAATCTATTAAGATTTTTTTTTCAGCTTTACCTATAAATAAATTCAGCAACTTATTTTGTCATGCCACTGTGTATTTATTGGCCAATTTTTGAAGATAAATGAGAATCAATGACCTTCTAGTATGAATGTTCTTAAAAAATATGCTTGTTATTGGAAGTAATCCTCGATCAACTTATGTTTGTTACTAAATGTTTCATTTATTTAAACATGAATAGGTACATGAATAATCTAGAGCCTAATTAGATGTTTTAGAGGTTGGATGGTTGAGGGGCTATAAATTCATGTTTTATAGATGGCATTGATAAATTTATCCAATATGAATGTTCTCAAATGAATCACATTAGTGGTTATAATGTTACATGTCCATGAAAAAAATGCCACAACTTTAGATACTTGGAAGTTTAAATTGTTAAACATTACCCTTATATGTTTGGATTTGCTGATGACTATTTTGTTTGGAAGCATCTAGGGGAAAGAAAATTGATCAATGATATTTCTTCAAGTCAATATTTACATAGTAGTTCTCAGCTTGAATTAGAATATGATATCCCATACCAACAAATGATCTGACGATATTCAATATTTCAGTCTCTAAAAAGGCTAATTCGCTTTACTAATTTGTTTCCTTTTTTATGTAATCTCTTTACTATATGGTTAATCATAATGCCAACTGTTTCACTCCTATATTTGCAGGCATAAGTTATTCCAAATAATATGATAGCTTTTTGGAGGCATTTTAAAAATATTTTAGCACATTTTCACTTGATTGGAAAATACTTTAGTAATAAACTTATTGGTTCTAAGTTGTAAGTATCTTCAAGTTAAATGTACTGCAATCAGCTTCAAAGATTTTGTATTTTCTACATGTCCAAGTAATGGTTTTCCTTGTTTATTTTCATTAAAAATCTTAGATGGTAAAGTAAAACTTGTTAGATGGTAAGCCTAGAGGACATGCACCTTTGCTTTATTTATCTCAAAACAAATCTTAGTAGTGATAAGCAGCATATAAATTGCATAAAAGTATCTGCATTAGTTATGGGGGTAAAGCATTTGAGTTAAACAAATTAGCTAAATAGTTAAATTTTCGTGTAAGAGGTTTGAGTTTTTGTGCTAGCAAAGCATCTGGTGTTGCTTCTGTCCATATATATTAAAAGCTGATTGTTGGGTCCTTTTCCCAAACCTTTCTGATGATTTTATTACCTCTCCAAATATATCAACTATGATAGGCATGCTTCAGTATCTGAGGCATGACCCATTTCAATCAAAAAGTTGTACGGAAGAAGTTCCAAGCTTCATAGCACCAGTGTGAGTTTTTTTGCATAGGTTGTCTTTTGTTAGACATGTCCTTCTTACAAATGTGAAGTGTTTGGTTTCCCATTCTTTAGAAACATACATAGTTGACCAATATAAGGAAGAATCATGTCCAACATATATACTTCTCCGCTAACTAGGATTAATTCCATCATAGTCAAGAGATTTCTAGTATCAAGACAGAAAGTAAGTTTTCACTACATGCGTCAAGTTAAGGAAATTTAACACACAACTTAACATTGTAATAAACATCAACTCCAGAATCCCAAATTAGGTGATGGTTCATCGAGTTGTGTCTTCACATATACTAAGGAGCACATCCATCGTACTTCTTGGCCTAACATGGAGTATTTCCTTTATAAGCATGAAAATCCTATAAGTAAGCTGCATTTCATCCTCTTCTAATAGTACCTTCTCCTTATCGACTTATAAACCTTTCCATTCTTTTGATTGATGACATGTTAAATAGGCCGTCTTTTTGAAATGTTGTAAGAGCTTGTACACTTTCTATGAATTGGCTATGTACTTGTCATAGAACTCAACATGAGGAATTTTATTGAACAGTCTGGGAAACAGTAGAGGAATTGACATCCCCTACAATTGGATTTATTCCCATTATCAATTGTTTCCTCAGGTTTCATATAAGAATAATATTGAAAGTTACCCTCGTCAATACTAGTATAAAGGTATGTCTTAATGTTGATTGTTTGATATATTTGCTTGACACAAACTGTTGATTCTTCTTCGTGTTTTTTCTTCACATATGAGGAAGAATCATGTCCAAAATATTTCTTAGTAAATAAGAAAATCCTACTAACCATACAGAAAGTAAGTTCCCATGAAATACTTTAAACTCGCATAAGAGAATTTAACACAAAATATCACTTCAAAATAAAAATCAACTCAATAACCCCAAATTGAATGATGATTCTTAGATTTTCTTCTTCACATATGAGGAAGGATCATGTTCGACATAAATAGATCTCAGTCTAACTTGGACTAATCCCTTAACATGAAAGAAATTCCTGCTACTTAAAAAGTAAGTTCCCACTGAGAAAATTCATACATCATTTAAGAACAAGCATGGAATGTAAAAACCATCTTTGTTCCCAAACAGAGTGTTCAAAACATTCAACAAGGTTCACAATTCTATGTTTCCAAGTAGATAAAATATTTATTTTACCTTAAACCAAAGGCAGAACACAACTTTACCGCCCCATCAACAAAACGTCTCTTTTCTGTTTGCACATCCAAAACACTTTAGCCAAAGATTAAGAAGGATTGTGATAACGATACTAATCAACAAGATTCACAACTTCTGCTTTAGATGATTCCCGTTGAAAATTTGTTATCTCCGCTTGTTCTTTGAGAGATTTTTTATATTCCATTTGACTAGGCTTGACTTCCATTTTTACAAGTGTTGGAGACTTTTCCAATAAAACCTTACTAAGTTGCATTTCACCCTCTTCTTATAGTTCATCATACAACTTAACTATCCTCAAATGATGTCCGAGAAGATTGCAGGAATCTAATAAACAATTTCCTGTGGCACAGATTCGAAATAACGATACACTCGTAAGAAGAATCAAGAAAAAACCATCAAATTCATTACATACGAATATAAAAATATGGAAAATATAGAAAAAAAATAAAAATTAATGACAAGATTATTTTCAATTTCATCAAAATTTGGAGAGCCCCATCGCATGCAAAGAGCAAACAAAAACTCAAAAAACTCTCCAAGAGTAATACAAGATATGAATAGGTGTTTCAGACTATTATGAACTAATGGAAGCCTTGTTTGTATAAATTTAGTTGATCCAATATCAACCTACGAATAAAAATTACAAAATCAGGATGCCAAGAAGAAAACTACATGTATGGAAATACAAGTACAATGAAACAACATTACCTCAAAATTATCTCATCTGAAATACTAGAGAACAATAATAGACGAAAAAGTATTGTCAAAATTATATTTTTCCTCTAGAACAAATTCTTTAGGTTCATACAGAACATTGGAAAGTAGAGGATCATTTTCTAGATATATCAACTGTGGATTGCCACGAAATACAAATGACCTCAAATAAGGAGCATTAATACTCATGATGTATGGATTTTCAATGTCTTTTAGAATCAAATCTCCAGCAACGGGCAATTAGAGATCAAACATTCAAACATATCAGAAGATAATATTACAAATTTTATTTTTGGTTAATCAACTTATTAAATAACTGAAAGAAGCATGGAAGATGTATTTCACATCCCATGGGATACAAATGCCTCAATGTTGCACAATAAAAAAGAAGTAAGGGATCTTGTATGGTGGATAAGTAAATGAAGGTTTAAGAAAGAAATATTTGAATGAAATTTGTTTCGATCAAATCTATCAATCGATTAACATTATGACATACTTTTTGACTTGAAATGTCAATGGTATCTTTAAATATTGTTCCAATATGAAAAGTGAAGAAACAATCGAGAATGGGATTAAATGGAGTGATAGGGGATGTCAAGTCCTCTGGTGTTTCCCAGGCCATTTGATCAAATTTCACCTGTGGAGTTCTACGACAAATATATTTCCAATCCATAGAAAGTGTACTAGTTCTTACCACATCCTGAAAAGACAACCTATTTAGAATGTCAATGATTAATTGAATGGCAAGGTTGCTTAGTTGATCAGGAGAAGGTAAATGTAGTCTTTTTTCATTTCGAGGCATGATAATATGTAGAAAATTAACAAGAACATCGTTGGTAAGGTCAACGTATGCGCCTCACGAATAACAAACAAATGTTTTTCACCTTATTCAACTAACTTGTCACAACTCTAACAATAAAAGAGAAGGTGCATAATTTTTAGATGGCATATGCTTTGATTTCATTAATTTTCAACTCTTAATGTAAAATTGTCTGGTTCAGGTTCAATTAAATACATCTATAGTACTTTTTCATAGAATTTTAAGAGAATTTAGAAGTTTAAATTAGCGATGTTATACTTATTGTAATAGAAAATTATAGTATTGAGTGTTTACATCAAAATACTATATGAATGACATATGTTTGTCGTAGCATTATAAAATAACAGATAACACTTCACACTTTCCTCAACACTACAGGAGTCATTTGGTAGTATATATAAAAATAATATTTGTATTAAATTTTAGTACAATGGTTTACAAAAAATTTAACCATGGTACAATTAATACTAGTATTACAATTAATCTTTTATGGGATATATAACCACAAACATTTGTGCTACAAGATGCTGAAAATAATAATTTAGTGAACTACACACTTATATTTTATATTTTGGTGAAAGGCGACTTAGAAGAGTCTCATGGCTGCCGCTGTCTCTCCCCAGTCTCAAACTATGGGAGAGTTAAACATAATTATAACTATTCATCTCCTATGTAATATAACCCTACAACACTAACAGAAACAAATTTGAAACCTATTTTAAATAATATACGGGGAACCAACTGTACGTTTTTTCCCTGGACCAGAGTTTCAGTTTTAAAACATCTCTTGAAAAAGTTTGGCAGATGCTATGAAAACTACAAATAAAGGACCATGAATATCAACAAACTGATATATTTCTCATTATATGTGAAGATCAAGTTGGTTCGAATGCAGATACAGGGGTCGCGAGGGTAGGGAGTGAACCTGCAGATACAACAAATGATATGATTGGACTTTAAGAAAAGACAACTAATTCAAAGACTTTTGTTTTTGTCGTCGCAAGTCGCTTCTGGAAAGCGATTTATTGAAGATGTAGCCATTAATACAACTCCTACTTTTGCGGTACAAATAAAAGAACATGGACAGTCTGGTATAGTTGATAAAGCAGGGGTAACAGTTGATGTTGGAGCTCAAATTGGTTGTCCACGAGACTCTCAAATTTATCCTCAACTTGCACCTAAGTTGAATGTGGTTAATTCTCGTACTTTACTGATTTTTTTAATCTCACAAGTTACTTCGACAAATAATTTTATCTCTTTTAGTGGGCAAAAGGTGTTACAAGTTAGATTCTAGGGACCAACCGGAAGGAAGAAGCGGATGACCATGTCACAAGTCATAGAAAATTGATCCTTGAAGCACCAATTTTTGTGCCTAAGGGTAGGGGCATTACAAGTGGTTCATCCTCATTACATATAGGGCGACAATTCGTTTCAACAGGTACTAATGTCCAAGAAGTTTCAGGTTGTGACAAAGAGCTTCTTGATACCTTGGTGAGTTCTAATGTTAGAAAGTCGAATCCTCTTACGCCTATAACACAAACAATCAACGACAAGATGAGGAAACCTTTGAGGAAAGTGAAGAAGAGGTTATTTTGAATTATTGTTTGGCAAATACAACTAGGAATACAGATATTTCTCCTAGGAAACAACGCAACAAGAAAACGAAGTATGGAAGAAAGAATAGTTGGGATGGTAGAATGACTGAGGAGTTTGTTCCACGACACCTACCGATGTGATTGGCAACGCAAAATCACATGACAGTGCAACAACTTTAAAGAGATCCTATAGATCTAAGAAGATTTGATGAACTATTTGAAAGTTTTTTTTTACAAATTTGAAGAGGAAGACTAGAGGAAAAAACTTCAGGTTTGTTTAGAAGGGCAATCTATCTTTTTTAGTTCACGCTTTTGTAAAATGAAGTTTGAGTTTAATTACTCAAATCTTATCATGTCTTTTCTACTTTTGTACTACTTAGTCATCCTCATTTGTAATATCATCATTGAGTGTATTATAAACTCTCTCTAGCTCATATTTAAAGATTAGTTCTCTCTAGCTCAAATTTCTTCATGCGGGTTGATTAGTAGAGGTATTATAGCTCATTAGGATTGGTAAGAAAAGGTCTAGCCCCCTTGGTTGTACTTATCTCTGTTGAGGTTTTCTTTTAATCATATCAATAATAAAATGCAGCTAGACATTGTCTAGTGTTATAAAATAAAAATAAAAAGATGATTAAAAAAATATTTTTTGGTGAAAAAGAATAAAAAATAAATCATGAAATTTTAATTTATGTATAAGTTATTAATAAGAACAAAAAAATCATGTAAAAAAATTATTTTGTTAAATTAAATATTCATATCCAAACCCCTAATTGAATCTAAAACCCTCAAGAAAAGAATAACAAATCAGATTCCTATAAATTTTTTAGAAAATATAATATAATTGAACAAGGTGATATTCATTATTCAGAACTAAGCCATAAGTCCATATGCCTTTAATCTATGTTTTCTCAAGATAGCATAATTAGAATTTCACAAATGTTTTACTTTTTCTTAATAGTTTAATTATTTTAAAAAATATATTTTTTTCTAAATAGTGTATTATTTGAATAACTAAATCTTTAGAGGAAACAAGTTTGAAATAACTTAATTTGTTGCTACCATTATACAATGAATTTAGATACACCTACAATCAGAGTATACTATAGAACTATTAAAGAAACTTTTTGATATATATATATATATATATATATATATAGTTTAAGATCATACAAAATAAAACTATTTTATCAAAAATAAAAAAAATTGGATCTCGCATGTAAAAAAAATTAATTTAACTTTAGGCGTCCAACTTATTTTTGGCGAATCTCGTGATATGATAAGATATCCTTAACTCGAAGATTTCAGTTAGTACTATAAATAAAGGATCACCCATGCACTTTTTAAATATAGAAATATAAAATCTCGGATGAAGCGATGTTAACTCTTTTGTTACCTCTACTCATAAGATACAGTGTCAATTCTTTTGGACATTCTATAAGGTCTAACATATCGGGGTCTAAGTTTTTCTTTCTACCAAACCTCATTACGCCCTACAAAGATGAAACTTTTATATATACCCAATTGTTCACCTCAAACCCTATCGTCGTCCTCCTAACATCTATATAGGACTTTTGAAGACTCTGTACCATTTGCAATATCTCTTGAATCACTTTCACCCTGTCCATGTCTTGGTGAACTAGTTCTGGTTTTATCAATTCACCAACATTAAACTACCGAATAGGAAATATGCATCTTCTCCCATAAAGAGTTTCATATGAAGCCATGTGGACTTTCAAAAGATAACACTCTTTCTAAGAGAATTCAATAAGTTGTAGGTTATTATCCCAATTTCCGTTTCAAATCAATCACACAAGCTTTCAACATGTCTTCTAATGTGTGGATGGTACGCTCTCATTGTCTATCCATTTGACGATGAAAAGAAGTGCTTAAGTTCATATTTCAACCTAAACCTTTCTCGAAATATTTCTAGATGTTAGAATTTATTTGTGCGCCTCTATCTGAAATAATGGATACAGAACTCCATAAAGTCTTACCACTTCTTGAATGTACAACATAGCATAGTCCTAGGCCAAATGAGTAGTCTTTACTGAAATAATGTGGGTTGATTTAGTCATTATATTTACAATTACTCAAATATATTCATGATGCCTGCGAGATCTTAGAAATCCTGTGATGAATTCCATATAAATTATCTTCCACATCCATTGCGGATGTTTTGTATTCTATGCCAACCCTCTAGATTTTTGGTGCTCTACTTTGACAAGCTTTCAATTCGGGCACTTGGTAACAAACTCAACAAAGTCCGTCTTCATACCTTCCCAAAAATATACCTTACATAA